CCCCAAAACCCCAAAACCCCAAAACCCCATTAAGCTAAATAGCATATAAAATAAAAAAGTAAATTAAGAGAAAAAATTCACAAATTTAATATTCCAAAGCAACTTTTACACACTCATATATACTCTTCAATTATTAATTTTGATATTAGCTCACCTCATATATTTGTAATCAAGATTCAAGAAGTGCAATAGATTATTATAAATACATCTATTAAGTACTCTGGTTGCGATAACATATACTTCATAATTGTAATGTAATTTTTTATCCTTCTCACAATGAAGTCCTCAATTTTCTTAAGACATATTAGAAGTCTTTAAGAAAAAGTCAGATTTTTGTTTCCTATTGCCCCACTACCCATGAGGAAACTTTTATCCCGTTTATACTCAACTAAAAAACTATTTTTTTGATAAGGATTGCTGCTATTGCTGAAGCCATCTGGCTGGTAATACTCATCAAAATAGTACTTTATTCGGAGAAAGGTATCTATTGTCGAACCTAGTACGCGCATAAAGTAATTTATCAATCTAATCACTCGTAGACTCATTTAATTTTGAGAATTTGATAATTATTTTAATTTAATAAATGTTCAAATGCCAATAATTTCTTAAAATATTAAAACTTTATGAAATATAAGAGAACTTTAAGTCATTAACCTGACTTAAGCAAGAAATTATTTGAAATTTTATATAGGAACTAATTAAGATCAATCAACATGTTTTTGTTATTCTTCTCTCACAATTCATAAATTTTCCATGAGTTTCTAAATGTTTTGTTCAAACTGAAAAGAAATAAAATAACAGATATTGTTACATTAATTGTTTCAACTTCAAGCACACTCAAAAATTCCTGAATAAACTAAAGTTCATCAGTTGTACCCTTTTGTTTATTAAAGTTTACCTTGGATTCTACTAATTCCAAATATTCTTTCATTGTTAAAGGACTCAGTAATTTTCCTTGAAGTGTTTTCTGCTTTGAGCCATCAATTATTTTCTTTTATTATTCTTCTGTCAATCTTCCAATCTAACACGTATAAATATAAATATTTACCCTCTGTAAGACATTTATGATAAGTTGCCTAGAGACACCATGCTTTAGATATCTATCTATTCTAGTAAATGTATCACACAGCCTATCAGTACTTTATTGAGATATAATCTTTGGTGAATATAGAGTATCAAATGCAGATTAATAACCCATTAAATGAGGATGCTTGTTCTGAAGATAAATTTTTTTATACTTTCTTGAAGATCTTTCGATTCTAGCGAAAACAAAGCCAAAAACATTAGCCAGCACATTGAAGGCCATAATAAGCAATCCAATGTAAGCGAATCTCTTCCATCTCATACGCATGAACACTAATATTCTAGTCCTGTACTTCATGTGATTGAAATACCTCGGTGGATCCTTTCTCATTTCCTCAGCATTTTTAGCCATGAATTGTCTAGATCTCTATGGTAATATCTAAAATCAAAGCATCATACATATTTGGACACTAATTGGTCAAAAGTATAGTTTCTTTTTCCGAAATATAAAAGTGTATATTACTGGAAAGACCTTGCCTTAATGAGTTAATTTATTGACCGTAAATGATTCATTTTTAAAAATATTATAATTCTATGTTTTATTTAGTAAATTAGCATTTGACTATCAATTATTGATGTCTGGGGTTTTGGGGTTTTGGGGTTTTGGGG